TTGCAACCTACTCATGGTGAACAGTCAGGGAGAGATTATTCCCAGGGAGAGACTGGCCCCTCAGCAGCAAAAGGGGGTTCTGTGATCCACGAATCTGTGTGTGCCTTCACGTCATGCCTTGTGCCAAGGCCTGTGCCACTTAGATCAAGTGCCCTTTTCCTGTGTCCGGAAAAGGATGGCAATCCTCCAATGAATTTGTCTGCAAGCAATGGCCAGGGAAGTGCATGTTTCAGGTTTCTCTGTCTAAGAAATGCTGTGGGAAATGTCATTTCCCCAGCTGTATATCCTTGTTACAGTTGTGATGTAGAGTTTCGCTGTATTTGCACTAAGCTTTTCCAAGTTTTCAGCAAACCTTCAGATGTTATTAATGGCTCTTGCATGTTGATGCTACTGCTGGTGTTTTGTGGCTGTTTAAGTTGGTAGGATTGTAGGGAGGGGAGAGTCTAATTTAGCAGCAAAGTCTGGGTTTGGGGCATTTTACTTGAAGCACGTGCCAGAAAGTCACTCATTTCATCCTCTGTCATGTCTGATTCTCTTTTCACTGTGAGTGGTAGCTTTTGGATGTAGGCATATACTTCACATTAATGGTTGCAGAATGACATATATTCAAAACTGTCCATGTGCTTATGAAGAATGAAGACATCTTTGAGTTGATTCTGATCTGAGTCTTTAGCTAAGCTGCATATTGCTTATGACTGTTTAGACGTGTTACATTTCTTCAAGTATCAGTGATGAGCAGAGTCCATATGTGTGGACCTGTGTTGTGATCCCTGCTCTCCATAAGGAGAAGTTGTGTGGAAAACTTCTTCCAGTGGTGTCTATCTGCAAAGGGATCCCTGTTGGGTGATGTCTGAGTATTCTGCATGAGCAGAGACAGGGCTGGTGGAAGAGTTGCTGAAATATCGAAAGTGTTGGTGTGAGTAGTAGTTTTCCCTAGGTGTTATATGGATCACGTAGTTATGGTTCTGTGCATTTTTCTTGGCTTTTTCTCCAAAAGAATTACTTGGAGTGCCTTACCTCTAGATATTTATTTTGTTTCTTTTGTACCTGTTACAGCTGACAGAAGTTAGGCCTTCAAACTGAGGCCTTTAAACTGAGGTCCTCAAGCTTAGGCCTTGAAACTTGGGCCTACAAACTTGGGCCTTCAAATCTGTGGGGGATGAGCAGGCCACATAGTAGAAAAGCTGATGAGAGCTCTTGAGAGTTTAATGAAATTAAGCCACACTGATTATCCAGAACAAGATTTCAAGGTCTCACTTCNGCGCGGGACCTGGGGCTCAGCGCGGACGAGCTGCCGGCGCGCAAGCTGCAGGTGGCGTCAGGCGGTAAGAAGCAGCTGAAATACTTCACGGTGAATGAGGAGAACGGGAACCTGTACGTGAACGAGAGGCTGGACCGGGAGGAGATGTGCGGCGAGTCGGCGACCTGCTCCGTCAGCTTCGAGGCGCTGGTGCACAACCCACTGAACGTTTTTCATGTGGAGGTGTCCATTGAGGACGTGAATGACAATTCCCCGGTCTTCAGGAAGGCTGTTCTGGACCTCGAGATTGGTGAATGGACTCTTCCCGGTGCTCGCTTTCCTTTGGAGACGGCACGAGACGCTGATGTGGGAAAAAATTCGCTGCTAACTTACCATATCACCAGCAACCCGTCCTTCTCTCTAGCCTTAAAAGAGAACCCCGACCAAAGCAAGCAGCCAGAATTGGTTCTAGACAGAACGCTGGACCGGGAGAAGCAGAGCTCTTTTGATCTAGTGCTGCTGGCGGTCGACGGCGGGGAGCCCGCGAGGTCTGGGACTCTCCAGATTCAGGTCAACGTGACAGACGCCAACGACAACCCGCCCGTGTTCAGCAAAAGCCTCTACGAAGCGCGAGTGTCAGAGAATTTGCCAGCGGGGTCAGTGGTACTGCAGGTTCAGGCGACGGATGCAGATGCGGGCACCAACGGGCGGGTTTCCTACTCCTTTGGCAACGTCCCTGACGCTATCAGTGCATTGTTTGCTGTCGACAGGGAAAGTGGGGAGGTCAGCACGGTGGGTACCCTCGATTTCGAGGAGAAGAGTAAATACATATTAAGCCTGGAGGCGAGGGATGGCGGGGGTTTGGTATCACACAGCAAGGTACAAATAGACATCATAGACGAGAACGACAACGCGCCCGAGATCACCATTCTGTCGCTATCGAGCCCCGTGCCCGAGGACGTGCCGGCCGGTACTGTGGTGGCCGTGCTGAACGTAAACGACCCTGATTCGGGCGATAACGGTCAGGTGTCGTGCGAGCTNTGCATAGTTTGATAAAGAGTTCATGAGAGTGGCAATTACATTTTCCACCTTGGATCTCCATTCAGGCTCTGTTTCCTGGAAGGCCATGGTTCATGTTTCCTTCCCACTGTGGGTGCTGCTTTGCAGGAAATAGTAACTTCCCTTGAGAACAAAATGCAGAGAGAATGTTGTGTGTGAGGAAAATGAGAAATTGCTTAACTCCAGTGTGTAGCTATAACATGCTGCTGTCCAGTTCCACTTACCTGGGGATTCTTGTTGTGTCTCTGAGGTCTACAGAGCTACATGCTGCTCTCTGTGGTTTCCTGCACTGCACAGGCCCTGAGGTGTCACAGTAGCCAGTGATTCCCCCGTGAATGGCAGTGGGCGGTATTTGGCTTGGCTTCTTTGATTTAATAAGTGCCAAGGATTTCTGTTGTTCTGCTGCTTACTAAAGTCATTTGGTCCAGTCAGAGAGACCTCATAGTCCTCTAATATTCCTCCAGCTTGCCCAGCTTGCGCCTTGAGGCCTCAGTGAGTTTCCAGATGTTCTGGGAAAGAATATTTACGTGTGTGTTGTAGTAAAGCACCAGAAAATCACAGCACTGAAATATCTCCCCCTCTCTGATGAGGTCAGATGGAAGTTTGGGGTTTGTATATGAATCTTCAGAATTGAATGAAAACCATTCAGCTGATTTTGCAGTCCTAAAATGGATTGGGGAGACGTTGAGACTTTTGCCTAGAGGTTAGGAGAATCAAAGCAATGGAAATATTAAATCAGTTATTGTAGCAGGCCTAATTTTTGAGTTTCCACCAAAAGCACAGAAGGTTTTCTGGATGGAAGGAGACTCAGTGTAAGGATGGACAACGGGCAGAGTCTGCACTGCTTAGCACTTTTTTATTCTCTGCCAGGTATGTATGTACACTGCCATTCATCTGAGAGCACATGCATTGCTTCTGGGCTTCACCTTTTTCTGCAGTTGTTAATCACTGAATAAATGCCCTTTTGATTCACACCGGTTTTGCACAGATGATGGGCTAACAATATCTCAGTTACCACTGGAACAATTAAATTG